GGTTGTTTTGACTTGATTACAGAGCTTCAGAAAACATATTAATTATTTTAAAGCTTGTGAAATCAAACACTTTTCTTAAATATCATGTTCATCCATTTTGCAAGAGTTTTATGTTTTGCTTTGGCAGTTTTTTTTGGTGTGTTTTCAAAATATAACAACACAAATCATAGCATGCTTTTTTTTTTTTAAATGTTTTGGGATTTTTTTTACTTAAATGGGCTCTTGTCAGTATCAACCAATAACTGTTCATATTTAAAACTCTGTCTTTATAAATAATGTCTGCTTTGTAAGCACACATCATTTCCTCTTGGCCGTGCCGCTCACAGAAGTAGTCAGGCCAGGGGGGGTTAGTACTGTGTGTCCATCCGTGTCTTCCGCTCTGGCACGCTACTCTTCTGGCCTACACTCCCAGGAACTGGCATTACTTTTCAGACACTTTTGTTTTCAACTTACCCTGTCCGTTCTTTTGAGCACTGTTAAACTGAAACCGCTAAATTAGCTGTTTGGCTTTGTGTCCCACTTGTTGGGATGTGAACATATGTCCACTCGGCTTAATATACACATGTCCTTGATGCTCTGTGGATGTGTGTCAGAAACATATGCGCCTCTTCTCTGACATCTGCTTGACTTCCCATTACCATTTCACAGTTTATGGCAGAGAGCTGGTCAAACATGCACCTCCATACTATTAATGCTTTTGTACTGAATGAGTTTATAGTCTGTAATCTACATCTAATCTAATCTACACACGCACAATTTAATAATTGAAAACAATATATATATATATATATAGTGCTGGGCAACGATTAATCGTGATTAATCGCACCCAAAATAAAAGTTTGTGTTTACATATATATGTGTGTGTACTGTGTATAATTATTTTGTATATATAAATACACACATATGCATGTATATATTTAAGATATATAATATTACTTATGTATAAATATATATATGCACTATATACATGCAAATATTTCTTAAATATATACATGCATATGTGTGTGTTTATATATACAAAATAAATATACACAGTACACACATATATATTATGTAAACACAAACTTTTATTTTTTTATTTTATATATATATAAATGCATTTAAACGTGACACATAAAATAGGTTTTTGCCAATCGTTACTCTTTCGAAATCTGAATAAAAGCGATTTCTGTGGGTCAGATTTGTGAACTTGCGGACTGGTCCCCTGTTTGGCCTGCGTTCAGTGCTCTGCTGTGAATGCTGGGAAGGCACTGCTGTTGATATAATAGAGCAGATCTGCTTCAACTGAACACAATGCACTGTTAAGACCTGATCTGAGCTTCACTGACACAGCCAAACGCTGCATATCAGAGAGCACCACAGGAATACAGCCACGTCCAGCACTTCAGACCGTCCCCGATGAACAGGGGATAGGAATAGGATTAGAGGGGAAATCATATAAGCAGTTAATTGAACAACAATACCTTTATTCAGAGAATGTTGGATCAGAATCTGAGAGCTACACACTCCAAAAGTGCAATGCATCTGGTCATTTGACCCGTTAGAGTTTTTGAAATTTTACATTGAATTATCAATTTTGTTACACAATTCTAATAAAATTAATGTATAATGCTAATGGATGTTGTTATATTTAGAAGAACATATTTACCTTTGTATTTATGTTGTTCTGTAAGTATTACGCACTTGCATATGTAATTGCAATGTAATAAACAGGTTTGAATTTTCAGTTACACTTTATCTGATATCTTTGTTACTGTGTAATTAATTATACATTTAAGTTCTGAGTAATATTAATTGACTACATGTACTTACTATAGGGCTTGAATTGGGGTTTGGTTTAGGGTTAGTTGCATGTTATCATGCATAATTTATAGTTATTATTGTAGATTTATTGTAACACTTTATTTTGTCATTGTTACATGTTACATGTAGTTACTATAGTAATAACTATAAATTATGCATAATTACAAGCAACTGACCCCAAACCAAACCCTATCACTACATGTAGTTACTTATTACTCAGTATTTAAATGTATAATTACTGTAACAAAGACACCTTAAAATAAAGTGTAACTTGTTTTTTTTTTACTTCACACTGAAATAAATATTTGGTATTGGAAGTTTTCATTAATTTTGTTGTTTCATGTGCTTAATCTAAATGTAATTAATTATAATAACATTAACAAAAAAACTATTTAGAAGTTGCTGATAATAATTGTATATTTAATACACGTTATTCATTAGTACTTACATATGTAATTACAATGTAGTAAACACTCATTTAATATTTTCTTTAAAACAATGATCAAACATGTCTTATCTGAGAGCATGATATTCCAAAGTTGCTGGGATATAGCATTTTCACTTGATATTGATCGAAATCATGTTGTTTAATAGTCATTAATCAGTACGTATATTCAATAAAGGATAAATAATAATAAACATATGTATTGAAATGTTTTCCTAACACTTTTGTAGTCTGATTTGATGCCATCCCGTGTCACTCTAATATTTTTTTAATGGAAACGAATTTGATATTGAAATGGAATGATTTTATTGTGCAGTGGTAATTGATACACATTTGTTTGCATGCCGAATGTAGGTGAGAGGTGCGAGTGTGTGTGTGTGAGAGAGTGTGTGTTGTGGGATTACAGGGATTCCTCTGATGGTGAGTCCCCAGGGTAAGACCGCAGCACACTAGCTGTGTGTTCCCATATAATGACGGTCAACAACAGTTGTTTAATTTAGCTTCCACAAAAGGGAAAAGAAACCACTGAGCTTTTCAAATCACAAAGACCGTGACTGTCGCCCAAATCAAGATGTATGGATTTGATTCAT